ACAGTCTCCAAAAATCGTGGAACGCTCAAAGCTCACTCCATTTGTTCCACTGACATATAACGTTTATGGATGTAAAGGACAGCTAGATCTACCTTAATCACTTTAGTTCCTAGCAATTTTTGATATAAATGTAATTAAACATAAAAAATACTTAAAACTGAAAAAAAACAAAAGAAATGTGTTAATTTTGAAGAAAAAGCTTCAAAGTTTAACTTCCTATGTCTCGCCCTTCTGTGAAATTTAACATCCATGAGTCATTGTTTACACATCTGGATGACCTTGAACACAGCTGGAGTTGGATTTCTTTGGGCATTCTCATAGACGTCGCGGGAGGACAAGGGTTTAAAGTAGGGTGAACACTAGCTGGCCATATATTTTTTAATATTTTTTAAAAATTTGGAGAGTTAAAAAACATTCCAAAAATTCAAAAAAAAATTTCAAAAATGGCCTTAACTCCTTAAGCCCCGAACAATTTTTGATATTAATTTAATTAAACATAAAAAATACTTAAAACTGAAAAAAATGAAAGAAATGCGTTAATTTTGAAGAAAAAGCTTCAAATTTTATTTTCCTTTGTTTCGCCTTTCTGTGAAATTTGACACTGATGAATCATTGTTTACACAGCTGGATGACCTTGAGAACAGCTGGAGTCAGATTTCCCAGGACATTCTCCTAGAAGTCTCGGGAGGCGATGGGTTTATATTAGGGTGACTACTAGTTGGCCGTATATTTTTAAATATTTTTAAAAAATTAATTTTTATCGTGATTTCTGACCCACCCCTGACTTAATTAAACTTATATATAATAAAATCTATTAATTAAAAAAATTAAAAAACTATTGGAGGTCGTTTTTGACATCAGAAACTAGCTTTAAATAACTTTACCGAAGTAAAATCCGTGCACTAGAACTTTAGAACGATTAATTAAATTTGATAAAAAAATCCCATTAAAAAACAATTAAGCGTTAATTGCGCGTCATTAAAGGTTGATTAAAATCGCGATAAAAGTTTTTCGCACGGGCAAAAAATTTTGAAAAAATTTGGGGACTTAAAAAACATTCCAAAAATTCAAAAAAAAATTTCAAAACTCCCCTTAAGGACCACGTTTTATGTAATGCTATGTAACTTGCCCGAGATATCTCGGGCTTGAGGCTTAAGGGGTTGGACTGTGGCGAGGAACTAAAGGGGTTTTAATTAACTCTTAACATCCAGATGTCAGTGATTTGTTTTTAGAGTGAGCTTTTGCAATTTGGGGATTCCCCTTGTACATGATACTTACCATCGACAAGTCGCTATTACATCATTCTAAGTTTTGCATTGAAAGATATAAACTGTAATTGTTTTGAAATTAAATTTTATTTTAGCGGTGTTTTGTTCATTTTTATAATAAGTAGCGAGTTTAAATTTTGCTGATTTCAAGTTGCAGTAATAAGCAGCACATTTTGATTTCTGGATTGAAACGTATAAAATGAGTGTCGTAAAGTTTTATTTTTCATTAGAAGAGGTTTTTGCCTTCTCGATATCATAAGTCTAAATTTTTCTAATTTCTTTTTTAAGATTTTATTTGGCCCAATGGAGAAAAAAGAACATCAAAGACAATCAATTTTGTTGGAAACAAAAATTGTAATTTTAGATCGCTTAGCAAAAGGAGAAGGATCTACGGCAATTGGAAAACATTTTAATTTAGGCGAATCTACTGTAAGAGTAATTAAGAAGAATGAAGTCGCAATAAGAAAATCTGTCATTTCTGGTACAAAATTAAGCGCCAAATTATCATCTTACTCAAGGGATGTATTATTAGAAAGAACAGAAAGAGCCCTCGCAATTTGGATTGAGGAACTAATTCAAAGAAGAATTCCTGTAAGTGGTTATTTAATCCAGGAAAAAGCTCTTCTGTTTTATGAGTCAATGAAACAGTCAGAGCCATCAACTTCCACTTCCCAGGCTGGTAAAGAATTTTCAGCTAGCAAAGGATGGCTAACCGGGTTTTTAAAAAGAAATGCACTTCATAATATCAAGATTACAGGAGAGGCTGCGTCAGCAGATGAAGGAGCAGCAAAAAAATTTCCACAGGAGCTAGCAAAAATTATTGAAGATGGGGCCTATTGTGCCGATCAAGTATTTAACGCTGATGAGGCGAGGCAGGACTGTATTGGAAAAAAATGCCTAATCATACTTACATCGTAAAGGATGAAAAAACTGCAAATGGACATAAAGCAAGTAAAGATTGAGTAACATTATTACTTTGTAGCAATGCATCAGGAGATCAGATGTTGAAACTACTCATAATAAATCGATATCTTAGACCACGTGCTCTAAAAGGCAAAGATTTAAAACAACTGCCAGTTTATTGGATGGCTAACCTGATAGCCTGGGCGGCAACAGCTATTTTTACAGAATGGTTCAATAATTGCTTTGTACCAGAAGTGGAAGCCTATATGAAGGAAAAATCTCTCGATTTTAAAGTTTTGTTAATTATTGACAATGCACCAGGTCATCCACAGTTAGAACATCCAAATGTTCAAGTAGTATTTCTTCCGCCCAATACAACAAGCCTTATTCAGCCATTAGATCAAGGCATAATTGCAACTTTTAAAAAATATTACATTAAGCGAACTTACCAATTCATCTTGAGTAAACTAGAAAATGAGTCCTTAACAGTAAAAGACGTGTGGAAGCAATTTTCTATTTTTGATTATTTGATTCATGTTGCATCTGCTTCCGCTGAAATAAGACCAACAACTTTAAATGCCTGTTGGAAAAAGGTTTGGCCAGCATGAGTAACAAGCAATACAACCATTCAAACATCGACACTATCAGATGAAATAATTACTTTGGCACATGAAATTGGTGGAGATGGTTTTAATACTTTCAGCCATGATGATATAGATGAATTGTTTGTGGATGATGCCTTAAGTGACAATGATATTATTGATCTAACTTTAGATGTCTTCGTAGGTCTAGAAGGTGATAATGATGAGGAAGGAAAACCAACCCCACTCACTGCAAAATTAATTTGAGAAGGTCTTCAACTTTGCAGTAAATTAGAAAATCATTTTCTTATTAATGACCCCAATTCTGAACGAGCCTTTAAATTACAACGTGAGCTGCAGAACTGCATGTCTGGATATCGTGAGCTACATAAAAAATTAGTAGAATCATCATCGCAAAGTTTAATTACTGATTACATTGACTTTTACTGAAATTACTGAATTACTGAAAGAGCTACACAGAATGAGAATGAAGTTTGTGAAAATCCATTGCCTTTACTGCAAATATCTATTGCAGAGACAGTCTCTTCTGATGATGGTGATTTGGAACCACTTCGCAAACGGTGCATAGCGATAATGATTAAAAAATGTAAAACTATATTACTTTTCAATAAAATAAACTGAATTAAGTTTGAATACAAGTTTATTTTAAGCTTTTATATGAATTTCTTTCAGACATTCGAAGTAATTTATTAAGCAGCCTATTTCTTTTAATTTCTGCAAACTTTTTTATGCGGTTTTAAGTTAATTTTAACTTGTTGTTTTGGTTTTATGCAATTTTAGAAAATTACAGAACGTATCCCTACTTTTTCAAGGCAAGTAAAGTCTTTTTTTATGCAAATTTTTTATATGCGCTTTTCTGTAGAATGTATCCACCACATAAAACGAGACCTTACAGTATATTGAATAATATAGAAACAAAAGAGATTATATTTTAAAAGTTCATTTTAATATAAAAATTGTGATGCATAGCGACATCTAGTATCAAAAACGTTCCGATGTAAACACAAAAATATTCGGGATCGCCCACACAGGTCAATGAGGTCAACACGAATATTTTCAGGAACAACGTAGGACAGGTTAATAAAGTGCTGTAAGAAATATGTTGACATACAAGAAGACTAGACTATATCAAAAACTAATTGTGAGCTAGCCGGGGGCACGGGCTGTTCCTGAAATGCCACTTAATCGGCGTGGGCTGGCAAAGCCCATTCTCTTTGTTGAGGATGGCTTTAGGCGGGTTTTAAATTGAGTGGGGAGGTGTGAGTAAGTCAATAGGGGTCCAAATAATTAGACAGGGTGACACAGGTTCAACAAATAACATTTAATATAATCTAAATTTCTAAGTTTAGATACAAAGGATGCATTACTGTTACTTATAGCTAAAGAACTACTTAACTAAAGAACCGAGAGAGAGAGTTTACAATTCTACAGATAATATATCTCATAAACTGATGTTCCCGATCTCATTGTATAGGACGTCAGTAAAACGCTCCTGGATCGGTGGAGTTGACCAGTAGTCTTCCTTTATGAGAGACGGGGATTATGGCAGGAAGGCAAGGGTGGCAGGATGAGTCCAGTGTTCACTGATGATGTTCATGCCCGGAGGACTGTGTCCAAACCCTTTTTATACCCGTTTTCAGGAGAGCTGACTGATGCTATGCATGATGTAACCCGTTCTAAGTTTGATTTGTGTCCAGATGTTGTTTATGTTAATTGTCAGAAAGCGAACGTTTCGACAAATTTATTACCTCTTTATAGTATGATTACTCATTCTACCTCATAAATTTGATAACAGATGTCAAACAAACTGAATTAATTGCTGGAGGTGACTAAGGACAGAGTTTGTCTTGCAACCTTAGTAATAATTGTTACTTTGTTTGTATGATAATTTGATCAGCTTTATCAGTTTCAAAATTGGACAAAATGGATGTGTGTGGGTTTTGTCATCCTTTCCCCATTTGACCTTTTGATCTCTGATTTCTACATAAAAAAAAAATAATTCTTAATTTATTTAATTATTATTATTTCTAATTATTCTTGTTTTTTCACTCCCTCTTTGGATGTCACACTAATGAAAAATGTTTATTTTTCATTATTTTTTGATATATAGGTCCTAATTTACTGGAGGAAAAATATAGTTTCCTCCAGTAAATTAGGATCAGGCCAGAAACTTCTGGACCTTACTATGTATTAATATGTAAACAGAACTTAATGGAGATTACAAATTGCACGGCAATATCCCATGAATTACACCTCTTTAATTATGAAATTCTTAGGAACTATTTCCAATTTTGAAATCTGTCATTTAGACTGAATTCATACTGAAAAGAGTTATTAAAATAATTTTAAAACTTATTAGCAGGCTTATTAACTAAATTTTTTATAGCATATTATTTGTTATATTCTTGGTTGTGAATCACACAATTTAAATCTTATTAGAAAAAAAATTTCAAACAATTAAAACTAATGAAAAAGCAAATAGGTACTACAAAATCATTATTTTTAAAGTTTGGTGTACAGTGCATGAATAATAGAGAATATCTAAATTTTTCATAGTTTTCAATAGAAAAATGTATCATATACATATATTCTGTGAGGAATAAATTTTTTGTCTACAGATAACTTAAATCTTAAAATTTTGTGCTTTAGGTTTCAGAGTCTTTATCAGTTAATGAAACTGAAGAAATTTGTGCCAAACCTGTTGAGAGGACAAACAATTCAACAAATCAACTCCAAGATGTTTTGCCAATTCAAGGAAACTTTAATTTTTTGCAAGAGTCACAGATTGACATGGAATGTAAGTTTTATTTTAATTTGAATTTTGATTTTAGAGAAGTCAGTGATAGCATTTTTATTAACTTGCAGCTCCTCATATGGATCCAGCTGTAGTAGTGGCCCATCCCATGGCTCCCCCACCAAATTCATCCTATCGACATTCTCAGTTTAATTCAGTAGCTGCTACTACTACATCACAGGTTATAAGTGAAAATGAAGCTCCATGTATTCCTACAACTATAGTTGTTCCACTTCAGACAATACCAGTTCCATCACCAGGCAATCCGGCTCTAACCCTCTCCCAAGCTGCACTTAATCATCCTCCTCAAGATTATGATCCTAATCAGCCCATACCTACACAAACATTTACTAATCAGAACTTTGTTGCAATGCAGAATATCATGACTGTTGTTTCTCCATATGTTCCCGTCACTGTTCCTGCACAGCATTTTACACCAGACAATATATTACAACAGCAGTCAACAAACATCATTACATCAGTTGAAACTCCTGCTGTTGAACATGCTGATACAGGTGACAATAATGAGATTTCAGAGAAGAACAATGGAACAGATGATAAAGAAACTGAGGTAATTTATTAATAAAAACTTTTTTAAGTTTATTGAAGAATCTGGATTAAGTAATATTTAACTCAAATTTATTAAATAAATTTAAAAATGTTGAGTAATTTCAGAAAGAAAATTTCTTATTTATTAGAAATATTGTACTATAAGTTGATTTTACATATTTTTAGATACTTTACAAAATATTTTAATTTCTAAAATAAGAAGAGAGTAAATAATTGTCCCCATTATAATTTTATTGGTATGATTTGCATAGATTTTGATTTCTTAAGGATGAAGATACTTATAAAATTCAAAGAGGTAAAGATAAAGTGTTTAATTACAATAAAAAATATATTGCAGTAATTATTGCAACAGATGTCTTAAAGTGAGATGATTTTTCAGGTGAAAATTACAATATATCTATGTATGAATTGAAATGTTTATCAAGTGTGTTTATAATTTAAGTGATTTTCAAACTTTTCAAGCATATTCCTTCTTTCTCATAAGAAATTCTTTCGCCCCTAAGTTTTCATAACTAGTGTCCAGAAAAACTCCAACAAGTTTGACTAGTTTTTACGTTAGAAAAAGAAAACACTATGAACTATAAACAATCATTGGAAAGGTGATGAAAAGCTGAACATTATCTTTTATTTTTGTAATTCTACAAGTCCTTGCCATCAGTCAATTTGTTTTCAGGCTTGCAATGCAAGTTTTTCTACACAATTTTGATTTGCATTTTTCAGAAAGTATTTCATGTGATTAATCAGTTTATCCATGCTTTTATCTTCCATTCCTTTTCATAAATGGCTGCCTTGGGAATTGCCCAAAAATTCTCAATTGACCTAATTTCTGGCTTGTTTTCAGGATGGTCCTTTTGTAATGAAAGGGAAGTTTTCTTGTTGCTGGTAATCCAATACAATTTTGGTATGGTGAGAACTGCTTAATCTAGTCAGAAGACATATTCTATTTGATAATAGTTCTTCTGAACATAAAGTATCAGGAAACATCATATATAATAATTTAAATATCACTGCACGTTGATAGCAAGGCTTGGATTTCCTGATTAGGGCTCATCAACCCACTCCTTTCAGTTCCATTGCAACCGAAACCAAAATCTTTGCCCTTGAGTTTCTTTTTCTGCAGAAAACTTTACATTGGCAGGTATAGAGGAGGTATCACAGGTATAAAATCTATTACCATTAACGTCAAGTGTGAGAGGGTGAAATGAGATTTATCATTACAATGAACAATAACAGTCTACACTTCATCTTTGCCAGTGATCTTTCTGTGGTATTTAATGCATGTTTTTGTTTTAAAGTCTTGAAGAAGCAAGTGGACACTTGTTAAAATCATATTGACCAATAGTTTTCTAGTAATTTATTATTCTAATAAAAATAACACACCACACCTGGAAATACATAATAATGAACACAGAACCAATTACTGGTGTCTATAAATAAAAAAATCAATCTCTGTACAAACGTTTTCTAACTTGGAAGGAGTTAGAAAACATTTAGAGATTGTTTTTTTATTTATACACACCGGTAATTGGTTCTGTGTTTGTGATTATTAGAATAAAATACAACATAGAATTTTTATGTTTTGATTTTGTTTTATTTTGAAATATAATTTTTTACTAAATAAAATAGTACAGTAGAGCATTGTTTATCTGAATCAGTTGGGGACTGGAGTTGTTTGGATAACTGATTATGTACGAATAAATATATTAACTTATCCCATGTTGAAATTTTTCTCCGTTGCGTGTTGCTTTGCGTTGAATTTTCGTCAATGTTAAGCCTAATGTAAACTTTTTAAAATAATAATCATGGCTATTGTGTCATTAAAAATGAATTCTTTATTTTTTACAAAATAATTCTAGTTTCTTTTTGACTGAACCAAATATCAGTTTGAGTCATAAGTAACTTCTGATGCAGCTTAGTAGAATCTATTCATATCTACCACTATGAGTTACTGGGACAAATAAGTTTTTGTTTTCACTATATAGAGGGTTCAGTTGGTCTTCTGTCATCTGTTTTGTGTGATGCATGTTACATTAAACTATTTTTCTTAACCTTTGAAANGTTTTTATATTTTTCAATATATTTATTTTGTTTGTAAAAAGTAAAGAAATACTTTTTAATCTAGTATCAAAAATGTTCAATTCAGCAAGACACAGTCCGACTGGAACGCTTTCGGTTAACTGGTGTTTTGGTTGATTGACTTTCAGATAAACAACACCTACAGTATTTACTTTCAACAGTGCTTATACTGTATATTTTTGAAACTTTGTTCTAATTTTAATAGTGTGAGTAAATTTTAAAGGAATTGGGAATTTAATTATATATAATCTTTTATAATAATACAACATAATCATATCATAAACAGTAAACAGAATTTTTCAGGGCTTGTTGAATGAAAATTCAGATATCAGTCATCTATGTAGATAAGACATCTTAATTTTGTAAAACAAACCATATTATAATTTGGACAGTGTATGCTCAAATTGAATTTAAACTATTACATGAAAATTCATTATCAGATACCTATCAATATATAAAAGTTAATAAAGATGACTGAAATAATAATAGTAATGCATTCTCACTAAATTATACAAGGGCTGATCATTTAGTTTATGAAATAATTTTCATGTTTTCTCCTGTGCAAATTTATGGGAAAATCTTGATTATGCTGCAGATTAAGTGATTGTCCTTGTATATTTAAATTTGAACCGTGACCTCAGATATTCCTTTAGAATTTTTGAATTATATGAAATTCTTATTGGAAATAAGGAAATAGGAATAATGCTTCTACTTCTGAATTTTCAGTAGTAATAAAACCTATGGATATATATGCTGTGTTTTTTCATTGTAGAATATATATAACATAGGAATTTCAAATCAAATAAATAAATAAATGATGTTTGTCTAAAAACATTTGTAACAAATATAACTTTGAAGAAAAGATAAAAAGCTGTTTGTTTTTACAGTGACAGGAGAAATCTTTCCAGTTATATTCATATCCATGTTGTTATAGAATAATGAAGTATCTTACTATTTGAATAAATGAAAGTTTTCAACCAAAATTAGAACCCATGATGAATTTAAGTAGCCCACAAGTGGGAGTGACTACTAGAGGGTTAAAAGTATAGATTACATTTTTTTTAAATTTTCTTTGATATGATGTAGTTCTTTATCATGATCTGTCAAAAAGAGAATCAATAGAATGGTATCATCCTGGTTCTCCAAGGCCAAGAAATCAAAGGTAACACAATTCAATCAAAGAAAATCATGAGCATGATATTTTTGGAAATTCTAAGNTCCACCTCTTCCTCACAACATCTGACTACCCGGCATAATTGGTGACTGCTCCATTTTCATTTTTTTTATGGAACAGTACAGTTAATTTATGCTGCGGAACGAATTATATGTTTTAACATGTATTTCTATGGGAAAATGCATTTCATATAACAGACTTTTCACTTAGCGGACATGCACGTGGAACGGATTAAGTATATTATACGAGGCACCACTGTATATATAAATTTGCAAAAACAATAATGGTGTACTACCACAGTTCACTCTTGTGTTACAATGGAACAGAGACAACTGAATACACTGAAAAGCGACAACACTGCACTAGTTCACACTACAATCAGTATTGCTGAATCGTTGTCTCGCTGCACCAGAAGTGACACAAAGCGCAACTCACAAAACCTATGGCACAAAGCATGCCATTTTCAAACTCTCACAAATTATTTTCAGTATTTTGCATTAAAATCTTGTGACCCCAAGATTTCACTAAGCGACCCCAAATGGGGTTGTGACCCATAGTTTAAGAAGCCCTGCTCTAGACTGTTGGCTGCGAGCATTTTACATAATTCGTGATTTATTTTTGTGTTTTTCCTACTTTGTACAAGACTATGGTAATATCTTCAGTTCTGTCATTGATGTCGTGCTTACACCCATGTTGTATTGTACTGTTCTTCTCAACATATTGAAATTTGCATTACAATTTAGTTTTTTTATGGATGTTTGTTTGGTTGTTTTTGCTAATATTCTAATTTTTTGTTATGGTCAAACTGTTATTTTTTTTTTGTCATTTCATTTCCATTTGTAACAAAAAAATGTTTGAGTTAATTTGTCTGATTAATGGGTATAATAAATATACATAGACATTGTTTATGTAGGGTCGAAAAAAGTTTCTACTCTGTGTTGTTCATGAGAAAATGTACAGTACACTAAACTTTCAGTTAGATGAATATTCTAATTTTTTGTCTAGGAGTTGTATGTATATAAAACACAAGCAGACTTGTCCAGTTCTTACATAAGAGTCCAGCTATAGTCTACAGAATGATTCTTGTTGAATTAGATTCTGAAGATCGTGGGGAATCATTACAGCCCCAGGAATGTCATGGAAACGGATCAATTTGCAAGTGGTGGTATCATGGTCTGGGATAGCATTACTCTTAATGGTTACTCTGAGCTTCATAGTTTTGTAAGGTGTGCCATGGCTACAAGAAATTTTGAAACTCAGTGTGAGGTATTTCCAAGGTGTTAAAGGAGCAGATTTCATTTTGAGAGACAATAATGCCCATGCACATAGAGCTATACTTGTCAATGGATTTCTTGACAATGAAAATATTCATCACATGAAATTGCCAGCAATATCTTGGGATGTAAATTTCATAGATCATATATGAGATGAGATAAACTTAAAGTTTGCAGATTGAATTCTTGGAAATTTTTAGCATGATTAGTATGATGTTACTTGAGAAATCTGATAATTCTGGAACAAGTTTCATGTACAATGAATTATTTATTCAACCAAGCGACAATTATCAACTATTTGTCTCTCAACAAGTCTGAATCAAAAGCTCTCTCCTTTTTTCTCTCCAATTTTGAGATTTTTCCAGGGATCTTCAGATTTGATAACCTCACTTCCATGACACCAATATGTGAGATTTTGTAGGAGTTTTTAGATTTGAACCCCACTCCTGAAAACCAATATGTGAGAAGCGAAGGGCA